CGAAGCCCAAAATTTGATAGCAATTCCTTTAATTTTTAACCACCAAAAGATGAAACAATATTTCTCTGTCCTTGCCCTCATCCCACTCCATTTTTGAAACATGCAATTTAATAGGCAAAAAATGAAGTTTAGGTGTATGTCAATCTGGCTATTCCTCTTCTACCTACTATATGGTATTCCGTCCACGTTGCTCTACGTACTCGTCATCAGAATTATATTCTCGAAAAGACAGACTATATTCTCCGGATCGTTCTACGTGGTTTACCTCAACATTTTGATTATTGTGAGTTTTTGAAGTTTTAAGCTTTTAAGTTTTTAGCTATTTGTAAAAATTAATTTCGAAGGATTAGCTAGCAAAAAATATACACTAATTTGGAGCTTATCTCCACGTAAAATAAATAGTCTAGAAAACACAACAAAAAAAATTTTTAAAATTTATGTTGCGAGTTTGCATGTCTAGCTGCGTTCCAATACAAATTAATAAACGGAGTTTTCACTTCCGAAATTATTTTACCATGGTTTAATACATATGTATTTACCGATTTTAATTCCTATAATTCAAAATTTCGATAGTAAAAACAGGATAAAAATTTCTTTCGATGAGCAACACCAACATATTGCCTAAATTGTACAAAATACGCTGGTTACGCAAAATTTGGTTTTCAAACTTTATTTTATAAATGTTGTGTTTCGTGCTTGTCTTGTTGACAGGGCTCTTATTAAAAAATTTTTTAGTTTTGTTAGAGCTGCATTATGAACCCTGATTATTTACTAAACTATTTTAGCATTTTTTATTGATAAAAATCTGGCCGAAATCTTACCATATCGCACCGGCGCCTTAAGATATTTTAGAAAACGCCAAAACAATAGCATCAAAACACGCATTGTAATTTCTGGAAATTTTATGTTGCAAATTTGCCTTGCTTTCAAGTCTCCTAGTACAGATGAAAAGACGGCACTGAACGGGTTTGCGAGTATAAAAAATAGTGATCCCAATTTTTAACCAAAAAAGTATCGATTTTAATTTTAAGGGTGCTTACCAGATAATCGTCCCGTCTCCTTTGATGGCTTTTGGCTTTAGAGCTGAAACATATTTTCGCTAATGTGTTTTGTGAGCAATTTCGTAACCTCGGAAACTAAAAACTAACCATAAAAAACGTGTTTCAAATTTCATTTGCAGTGCACCTTTGCAGCGACACTACGATTTTAAAAGCAATGTTTGAGCCTCACTATTTGCCATAATATTTTGATGTGAAGCTGCAACATAATTTTTCGTCCGATTAAGAATTGACTGTTAGCTTCATAATATTAAGACAGTTCGAAACATTTTTGGCGTTTTCAGGTTATTTGAAATTTGATAAAAATTTGGAGGTAACCGCTACAAATCAACAGCCGCTTGAGATTAGCTAGAAAAAAAGCTAATTTTAAATATTCTAAAACCTTGCCCTACTAGCAAGCGCTTCATACAGGTTATTTGGTTATACACTTTTGATGAGAATTCGCAATTTCTGCAATGTTTGATCGATTTGGAAATTCTTCTGTACTATCGGAATGGCCAGTTTTTAATAAAGTTATTTTAGTTCGATGGCGAAACATAATTTTTTGTCAGATTAAATATTTAGAAAAGATTGGCTGGATTAACCGGATTAATAGCTTTATAATCTTAAAACAGTTCTAAAAATTTCTGGCCTTTTTAGGACCTGATCACCTACCTCAACACGTACATCAACCTCAAACTCCGCGAGGTGCCCGGGGTGGCCGAGTACTACGTCGGCATCGAGTTCAAGATCCCGCCCTACCGCTTCTTCAACCTGCTCTCATTCTCCTGCAATCACCTTCAGGTAGCTTAAGTTAAAATGTTACATCAAATAACCTAAAAACCTGAGAAAATTAGGTAATACTTGGAGCAATGTAACGATGAAAAATCATGACAACTTTCATAATTTGAAGCTCGAACAGGCATAAAAAATAATTAAATAATGATAACGATTAAGATTAATTCTAGAGGGTAATAAGAAATTCAAAGAGCTTTAAATAATTACATGAAATATTCAGGAACTAACTAATTGTAAAGCGCAAACTATGATACTAAATATTATGCCTCGTTAACAAGGCATTTTTGAGTTAAAATCTATATGTTACAGATTACCAACTATAGTAAGCGAAACATCATAAAGCAGTCGAGAAGGTAGCAAGCAATAATGATACTACCGATTCTGGCTTCAACAGCCTTAAAACTGCTTCAACACCCCTCAAATAGCAGAGAAAAAAAATGTTGCGTAGAATATAGGTACAAAGCCATATAAATAAGGTGGTAGTATAGTGCAGGACTACCGGAAAATATAAAATCTATCAGTAAAAGGGTTACCAAGAAAAAGCGCGTTTACAGAGGTAAAAATATAAACAATTGATATAAAGATATTTAATTTAAGATTGAGGAAACTTGATAGCTCGCGGTCGCGTCAATAGTCAAAGGAAAAGCGTTACAAAAATCCGCATATAAAAATTCTGCTTACGTTTCGTCCCTACGACAGTTCCGAGATGTTCCCAAAGTAGGCTAGCTTTTAAAGTGAAACCAACATTTTTACAGCTATTTTGTTTTTTCCGAATAAGTTCCGGAGAATGCTTTGGTATTTTCTACGCTTTGAAAAACTGGTAAACTTGATCGACTAGCGGTTAACAGAAGGGTTCTGGTTTGTTAGCGGGGGGGGGGGCGGCCTTCCAGTAGTCGCCTAATCATGCCTATTAGCACGGGGCAACGGGAGTGGGCGTGGCCTTCCCCCCCCCCCGATAACGGATCAGAACCCAGGTAAGTAATATGTAAAATCTACGGTCATGCTATACTCTTCATTTGAAAAACATTAAATAATACAAAAGCAACAATTACAGAATTGGATTCGAGACAATATTTTCAACACGAGACTTTGTAACATAATATTTAATCACGGCATTATATATACTTTTAGAACACGGGCCTACTCCTTATCCACCTTAACCGCTTCACCTGCACCATTGTTCCTATCTATCATCATCGGGTAAGCCGGTATTGAGACAGCTATATCCTACTATATATATGAAAAAATAGTGTTTGTGTGTGTGTGTGTGTGTGTGTGCCACTTTGCATGCAACTTCCGTCAGGGTGTCCGGAGGATATCTCAAGGGGGAAGGGTATTAGGCTATGTATGATACGTCATTAGGTGCGTAATGAAGCCGAGATGACCGCACGCATATCAGATTTTGCAAATTATGCTATTTTCGACATTAAAAATCAATTTTTGTTAAAAAATCGGGAAGCCTCTTTGTTAGGAATTAATTAGCATAAGCCGGAAGTGGCGGCAGCCTATATAAAGGCGGAGAAGGTGGGTTTTTCATTATTTCTCATAGAAATTCCGTAGAATTTTGCTATGTGCAGGATATCATGGGCTCAAACGGGGCCAGGGTTGATTGTTAAAAACTGTACTAAAACCACGCTGACCCCCCGCTACGCGGGTGTTCAGCGCTGGCCCTCCCCCACAATTCGAATTTTGAATTTGAATGCAGAATTTGACTGAATTCCTGGACGCGGGCGGACAGACGGACAATAGAAATTTATATATAGTAGATAAGTAAAAGTAGGGATTAATGGAGTGTGACATTACAACAAATTACGCATATTAGTTTTTAAACAAAAAGTTATGCATTTTTATTGTGATTTTAGTCCGAGGGTATTTTTAATGACTTACCGAACGACCACTAACACTATTTATTCTGGGTCTAGGCACTCTTTTGATGCAACGCATCTTTTGTCCACTGCCCAAGAGATGCGTTACGCCAAAAAAATGAAGTTTAACCTAAAGTGAAACTTCAAGAAAATCAACGTTTGCTAAAGGGACAAGCAATGCACGGCCATGGATGTCCTTGACCAAGAATTCCCGCAACATTATTTTAATGCATCCCAAGCTTTTTTTACGCATGGATTTCGAGCTTTCGATCTTAAGCTTTCTAGCTGTTTTAGCCATCAAAGCTGATATGGAGATTACGGGGCTCGACGAATTGGGTGCGCTGGTAGGAATTAGGCCATGTAATTGCCGAGCTCTCAAAAAAGACGATTTGTTACTTCGAATACAGACCAGGATTGTCCCGATTGATTCCCGCCACAGCCACTATTTTGATGGAACATAATTTTAGCAAGCTCTAGGGTACTTTTAAGGGGCTCCGAAGTCCGGTCCACGCCCCCAGAGTGGATTCCTGGCAACTAGCCAAATGCAACCGCAACGCGATCGTGCCCCTTGATCTTTTGCTGCCTGTTCGGGCGTGAAAACGCTACAATTGAAATTTCTGATGCTATTTCTGTAATCCTCCTCGAATTTTGATCATTCTAGAGTTTTTAATTATTCAGAGAATGACAGAGCACAACCGCCCATGGGTTCGGTCCAGATGGTTCAAGGGAAAGGGCGTACGGTGCGTGTTTTTCGCGTGTTGCGTGCGGGTGCGCGGAATAGCAACCGGTTTTTTAGCTGCGCAGGCCTGCTTTCACAATTGCGCGACGCGTCTATCGCACGCGTTGCGGTCTTCTCTCCTTTCCAAAGCTACCGGACGTTTTATTAGGAGCCGGGCCGCTGTGAGAGGTTGAGAGATTGAGGGATTGCATTACGACATGTAATCGCTGCGCACCCGAAATGCCGTTCGAGCACCGAATACCTTTCGGCTTTACTCAAATATTTTAGGTTTTTGCGCAACGAAATCACTTTTCTGGTCTTCTCGGCATTAACCCTTTCGTTTTTTTGGCCAGTAGGTTCAATCCCCGCAAGCACGAATTTTGACTTCAGAGTCCCTTTAATAATAAAAACGCACGTTTTTAATAAAAAAAATATTATGCTTTAATCGTGAATTTGAATTTCGAAAGGAAAAGCCGGAAAAATTTTTTTGGTGTAGAACGGGCTAGAATCGTCTCCCCAAATGTGAGGAAAATCATAAAATTACAACAACAAAATCGCCATAAAAATCGAGCGTTTCATAAAATGGTAAGCCAATTTCGCTAGAAATCATTATTAGTTTCATTCCTTCTCTTGTTTCTATAATAAAAACGTGATTTCAGTTCTGGAAACTCGGTGCACCGGTGTTGATCACATGCTCGTGGGTGTGGAGCTTCTCGGCTTCGTGGCCGGCCGCCGCCATCAACGGCATGTACGCACAGATAAACGGCGAAATTGCGCGGAGCCCACAGTTTTACGCGGTAGGCTCGATTTCACTAATTTCAACTCCCTATTAATAAGTTTCGAAAAAAAATTTTTTAGTATTGGATTTGAAACACATGATTATGTAAAACGAGAACAATAAAAAGGAGCTAAAAAAAATTCCGCTAGATTGAGATTTTAGATTAAGGTCCAAAAGAAAATATTAAAATCCACAAGAAAATCCAAAATGATTACGGTAAAAACAAAAATGTTTCGACAAAAGGTGTTGGGCTAAGCTTTTGAAAATGATACGGTCAGCGGAAGAAAAAAAATTGAAATAAAAACAATGCTTTATCGCAATGACAAGCCGTATTTTTCTGAACTGCTGCAATACGGTGTTGCGCTGAATGAAACTCAAAGTGTGTGAAAAAAGTTTTTTTGAACTGATACTTTAGCCCAGCCCTTTAATGATGGCTTGTTAGTGTAAGAGATAAATCCCGTTTTGCAGCAATTAACCGGCGTCTACGCGTTGCTCGACGTCACCGGCAAGGTCTATATCGGGTTGGCGGCGTTGCTGAACGCGTGCACCGGCTCGAAATTGTTGTATTTGAGGTGGCGGAAAATGAAGTGGGTTTTATCTACCTTTTCAGATAACATTAAAAATAGCGAATCAACCTTCCGAATACTTTTTGCTACTTTGCCTACATTTTTCACGATTATAAACTGGAAATTGCTGGCTTGGGCTTACCTGGAAAGAAAACGCTTCCAGTCTTAGCTTCAAAATTAGATCGGCTTTTTACGGCAGATTACCAAAAAAAATTTAAAACATTTAGTGTTTGAAAAAACTGATTTTTTTTATCCTACGGGATGTAAAGTTTAAGAAATTTCCATCGAATCTCGATTTTAAAGAGACGCGATACAGATTTTTCACGATTTCAAACTTGAGACGTAAACACCAGCGGAGAATTTAAAGCGCCTAGACTTTTTGATACATTGATCAGAAAATTCTCCTTGGGATTATCATTATCCGCGCAAGGCATATTGTCTAATTTTTTGGTCAATCTCGGTGATTTAAGAATGAAACATTTTGCTTTCTTCTTAATTCTAAAAAGCTGATACAACAGCTTATCAAGCTTTCTTAATAACATGGGCGGTCAGTCTTTTTAGAGTATCCGGCTCGCAAGAAATCGGGCTCTTCGTGATGGCGTTTGCTACATTTATCTGCCAGATAATGTGCCAATTTGTTGTGGTAAGTAATCCTTGAAAATTCCTGATTTTCGTTTAAAAATCGATGATTCGTGAGTTTTAGAAAATTTGAAACATTTTTTCGAACAGTACGATTTCAGACCCAAATCAAAGGAATCGACCCCCGGTACAGCAACATTGTGGTGGGTGTTTTACGAAATAATGCATCAGGAGAGACATTGTTCCAAGTCTTAATTCGGCCAGTCTAGAGTTTTTTCGAAACATTGTTTTTTTCATCCAGGGGCTTTTCTGCATTTAGGTTATTTAATCAAATTAATAGTTATGTTATGAAAAGGTGAATTAAATTTATGAATAAGGTTTAGTTTTTAGATGAGAGTTTTCGTTAAGAGGCCTGAGAGCAAATCTTAAAGCTTCGGACGACCCGCAATGTTTCAAAAATTTTCCAGGTGCAATGACTGCTTTAGTAAATCAATTGGGCTCATTTCGTAGCGGGATACAAAAATAGAGCGGTATAATGTTTTGTCTAAGTAAGAGCAGGCTTACACGATTTTGTTACAAGGTTTTTTAATAATAAACGGTATATCCAGAAGTTAAATAAATAAATAATAAATAATACTTTTCAGAAACAAAACAGGTTTTGCTCCCCTAGTAAAACGATTGGCATTCCCTATTCATTGCCGAATAAGATTCGTTAGTAACTATTGCTGGTGATGGAACATAGTGTTTTCAAAACGCAGTATCTCCACCATTTAGTGGCTTTTTTCTGAATGTCGAAATAGAATGTTGCTTTTTTTCCTGAACCAACCCTCCGTTGAATCAGCCTAAATACTACGTGAAAAAAATCGGCATTATAAAATTTCGTTATGAGTTTCTGCATTATTTCAAGTAGTTCAAAAGTGCTTTCATTGTAGGAAATATTAATATTATTTTGAAAGTTTGACAAAACGGCGATGTTCAGACGGCCGTCTGGTATGTTTCGACATTTTCCAAATGCAAAGGTTGCATGAATAAAGCAATTATATTTACTAGAAATAAAAGAAATAATAATTATACTAGTTAAAAAATAAATTAAATCATGTTAATGAGAAAATTAGTTACTCCAATTTGGAGTTTGGCTAAAAGTAGTAAAATGATTGCCCTGTTTCGACCCTTGTCCAAGACAGGCTACTAGGCTATAATTTCTTCCCTAAAAACTTTCGTGTTCGAACCCCATTAAGATATTATAAAGTAGCTTTCACGCAGGTACTTTTAAACATTTTAAGCTTAAAACCGTTCTTAATTTATTTAGAACGAGACAATGTAGGGGCGTAGCCAGAAAAAAATTTCGGGGGGGAAGCCCGAAAAAATGTTCGAAAAACTCAAAAAAATAACCAGAAAACAGCGCCGCAGGCGAAAAATTTTGGAAAAAAAAGCTATAGAGATATAGCTCTACAAATAGCCGTAAAAACGTGAAAAAAAATAGCGCCGCAGGCAGCAAAATTTTTGAGAAAATAAAAATCATAAGGGACCCCCTTATGAAATTTTCCGGCCGCGGCCGATTTCGGGGCGGCCCAGGGGGCCCACCTTACGCTACATCCCTCGACACATACTCTGTCACCAATTGACAGTTAACATTTTTGAAATCCTAAATTTTAATGAAAGATATATTTTTTCTTACGCCTGGATAGTTTTCACAATTTTTACAACTTTAGTCGTCGGTCAACGCGGACCTGTTCGCCCTTTCGGAGGTGTACATCGGGCTCATCTTCAACCGTCCACTTCGGACACAACTTCGCGAGGTGGGCATCGACGTGTTTACGGTGCGGTTAAAGGGATGGTGACGGCAAGGAGGAGTCAAAAATAGATAAAATAAACATTTTAAATTAAAAGAAAATATTTTAAAATTTATAAAATATTATTTATATAGAATATCGAATTCATAATGCGGAATTGATAATATCGCAATTTCACAAAGTCAAATTTGGTGAAAATCAATTTCGGCTTTTTTTTTAGGCGCAAATGACTTAAATAGAACTTTTTCACAAGTCTCTACGAGCATATTATGCAAATTAGCATGAAAAGTTTTAACTTTAAAAGACTCTAAAATACACTCCATGAAATCCCCTCCTTGCTGCTGGCACCGTCCCTTTAAACCCCACCTCTAGATGACGCATTAATAGGCGGTGTGCGGGAAGAAACCCCAATCGAATGTGGCCACGATATCCATACGCGTCCACAGCATATACCCGTAATTAGATAGGACTCGTCAATAAATAATTTTATGTAAAAAATATATGTTCCGCGTAAAATATGTAATCAAAAAATTAAAAGGATCTCAATAGTCATAAGCATGGTCGCTGAAATTTTGGGCGCTCCGCATTCGATAAAAAAATAAAAGAACAAAATACAAAATTTAAAGCTCAAAAAAGTTTTTTTACTTTTTTATTACTTTTATTTTGCTTGTCTCATACCACGGTAAAATAAGGAAAACTAAAAATAGGAATTGCCACTTAAAATTTAATACAAAAGGCAACCAATTCTGAAAAATGCATGATTCATTTTTGATCGCTGAAACGGTGAAAGACGATTTTAATTCCCAAAACATGTTTCGAAAACGATTAAAAATCGGGCGTGACAAACTATACTCCGTCAAATCACAATATTCATCACCTAAAAAATTTAAAGTCGATGACTTTACGTACGAATCGCCACAAAAATCGAAGAAAGCGGACGATTTTTATTACAGCAAAAATATGTCTGGAAAATAATTAAAAATGGGGCGTGATGAGCAGACTTGATGCACAAAAAGAAAAAAGTTGGATAGATAAACATTAATAAAAAAAAGAATAAAAGCCATTAAAAACGGATAAATTTCCATACGAATCATCTAGTTAGACCAGGCACATTTTCCTTAAGCAAAAATATGTTTCCAAAATTATTAAAAAATGCGCATGACGAAAAATAGCCAATAAGACCGCAACATTCAATGCAAATAATTAAAAATCGATAAATTTTGCATCGGAATCACCCGGGAATCGGCCCAAAGGGGAAAATGCGCGGATGGCCGGTGAGATGGCCGCCCGGATGGAGATGACCTGGGGCGAACGGCTCGTTCGACTCGGCCACGGCCGCCGATTCCCCGGATTCTGAGCCTTCCACCGGACCATGGTGATGACCTGGAAATATCTGTTTATAAAAGTGCTCACTAGATTAGTAAATCACTGTAGAATAACTCTCTATCGACTTCTTTCTTTCGACTTTTATTTTTTTCAGCAATAGCCCATTCCGACTAATTGCGATTCCCAAAAATTTTTGGTCTATCAATTTTTTGAAACACGAATTTTTTAGAAACGGTTTTCTCTGAATGGATGCCAGGTTAAATGGATCGGCAAGGCACGGCTAAGAACTTTCTAAGCTACATATGTTCTATGGCTTCCTACTATCCAACTTCGATGGCCTCGAATGTCTGATTTTACGAAAACCAGTATAGCCAAACTTCTTGAGGATATTTTGGTAGCAGTGGTTTCTAAAAATTCAATCTTTCTAACTTCGCTGGGAATTGAGGCTTTCACTTTTTCGTGATCCGACAATTTTTGAAACATCTTCTTTTCCAATTTCGCCCTGATTAGCAAATGTAATACCACGAGTAATTTTCTTAAAAAGCTCATTTTGTTGAAATTTGGTTCTGTCGAAATTTTTATGGATTTTTCGCCTCGATTTTCGCGAATTGAAATTTCAACGCATTAAAAGTCCGATAAAATGATATTTCTACAAAATGACACATCGACAAAATTAAAGTTAAATTAAAATTAAGCAAAGGCTCGCTCGGACGAAGGGCATAAGCGGTATTAAATACATCTTGTATGTAATAGGAAAAAAATCGAATGCAATTGATCATGATGTACCCTTTTCACTATTGCACAGACATATTAATCCACACAGCCCAAGTTTTTTGAAACATTATTTTTTCGGATCATTACAAATTAGCTTTCGGTCCTTTCTCGGCCAAATACCTTGGCTGTCCCCTTAAAGGGACATTCCGCTCTCGTTTTCAAGGTCTTGAAATGGTCAACACTTTAGCACGCGGTTACGGTAGGTGATCGACCTCCGGCAAAACCGAACCCGCACCACTCGCCCCAGGGCAAGCGCCATAGACCAGTAGGCCATGGGAGAGACGGGGAGAGGGGAGGGAACGAGAGGATATGAAGGGTCCGTGTTGAATAGTGGTTCAAACGAGAGCGGAATGTACCTTTAAGATACCGTATACCCCCGCCCACTTACCCTCGTGGGTCTCAAGTCCACCCACGGAGATGTTGTCCTCCTCTTCCTCTTCACTGTGCTTGCCGGACAGAATGTGAGGCGATAAAATCTTAATGCCATATAGTTCAATTGTAATTTTTAAGGTTACTGAAACGGGTATTAAGATGTGAATATGGATTAGCAGTCTTTCAAATTTTGACACAATT